ATAATTTGCAGACTGCTCAGCCACATACATACTTTGCTAACAAAATTGCTATTCATAACAAACTTGGTAAAACCTTTGTAGACTTAAGTAAGGATAATGGTCTTAAGGCTCCCCCCCTCCGAAAATCATATTTTTCGAAAAAAATTCAAAATTGAGTTTTTGTTGTGGGAAGATGCACTGAAGTCTCCTCTTTCAGTGCATGCCTTTGGTCTTAGGAAATAAGCGATTTTTGGCTGTTCTCGGTCTTATTTTTGTAGTTGCCCAGTCTTTTTTCATGGTTTTCAGGGGTTTTCTGGAGACTCTCCCCGATTTTTAGAAATTTTCTAGAAAACCAATAGCACCATCGTGTTCAGCGTGTCAAGTTACCCTTGTATCCAAGTTTTCAGAATAAAATATGATCCCTAGAATGCGTTACAGAAATTTTTTGTCCAATAGCGGCACCCATTTTGATAGTTGTCTCAGCCATTGAAAATCTTCTCTCTTCCTTATCTGATAACCAAAAATTCTAAAATTTTGAGCATACATGTTTCTCTCCATGTTTGATATGATGGCAATGCCAGATTTCTAGAAAACCTCTAGAATTCTTTGTTCTCCATAGTAGGCTTAAAAATAATTTTCAACTTGTTTATCAATTTTCTCAAAACGGATTTTTACTCTAATGATCGACAGCAGAACAAATTTTTTTTCAATATACTTCATCCTAGAGAGCTGCGGTTTTTTTAATCGATACATACGTATGCAGTGCTTCGGATGAGGGAAAGGGATTTTTTATTTAATCGTCTATCTGAGAGAAATCCAGAGTTTTCAAGAACCGTTGGGGTAGGATTTTGAGATTTTTTGGATTTTGGACGCCCCTAAATTGAACAAAGGAAAATTAAAAAAATCCCTTCCCCTCAGTCCAAGTGGTAAACAGTTCTGCTTAAAATAAAATAATCCCCGATTCAGTCCGTTGAAGTATAGTGAAAAAGACTTTCTACTGCCAGTGGGTCCATTTTGGGCCTTGATCTCTAGAAAACTCCTGAACGCTGAGGTTTAGAGAAGTAAAAAAAATTTCGTAACTTTACTTTCATGTGCCCAACATTTGTGGAAAGTTTCAAGGAAGTCCGATGTACTGTAACGAAAATCGATTTTGGAGGGGGGGGGGGGGATGCCTTAAGCGATATGAATGGGGTTCCAGTGGGCCTAATTGGTATATTGCGCGACCTGGAATCTGTATTGAAGGTAAATGTCTTAATGAACATTGTGCAGCAAATAGACAACTAGTGATTATGAATATTGGAATAAAAGACTTTGATTTTCTCAATGAAAGTTATAAAATGTCAAAATGCCCTCAATGTTCAACGTATGTTGAACCCATAACGTGTGCTTTTAACAACTGTGTTTGGCGATGGGGAGGTTTACTACAGTCTAAACCTGGCATTGAATCGAAGGAAGTTTCAGGTGATTGGAAATATGCTGATAATGCCTACTATCGTTCTGATGAAAATGTTAATGCAGCAGTCGTATGGTTACGATTAATTCTTTATGCAAAAGCCAAATAAAGCATTATTATCTCTTGTTGACTTTATTCGAAAATTCGATGAACACGTCCTATTTCTTTTAGTGAACTGAAATTATTGATAAGTTTAATATAATTCATATAACACAATTCATTAGAGAATATTTTTAAATGATCAATCAATGCATTGTAATTATCATGTATCTTTTTTCTAAGCTCTCTTCATGTAACAGATGGGGAAACTTCGTTACTGCATAGAATCTTAAATGTGGATTATAAAAGTATTTTAACAATTGATATATTAAAATGAAAAATTTTTCAAATAAGCCAAACAATAATTATTTTTTTGGCATAATATATATATATTTAGACTTCGTGTTCCTTCTATTTGTCCTACAGTTTTTTGAAAAATACAGATGTGTTACCACCCCCACATCCTTTTCTAGAGTGTGAAAAGCAGTAATGGTCAGAAACATGTCGAAATGAACGATATGGTAGTTTTTCACGATTTTCTTTTGTGTTTTCTGAACGAAACGAAGATATCCGGTAAATTTTAATATTATCAACAATGAAAGACACTTAGTAATCATTCATAGCAGAAAATCAAATCGAGAAATGATTCGGAAGGTAACATATCTGATTTTGAGCCATATATATCTTCAGTAATTATTAATACTACAGCGATCGAAGAAGATGTCCTAAGTAGAGTAAGCAAGAATTAATTTATCTTCAGAACTTATTAAGAAAAACTATTCGAGATATAAAAGCAACAGAGTTGCGTTTAATCGAAGCACTTTTATGTCGCTTTTTGAGGTGAATATCGTTCATATCTTTATTATTTTTTCAAAAGATATTTTTCATATGTAATCTGCATTGTTATAAACACAATTTCTATCACACATGAGGAAAGGAACAAGTGATACAGCTATAGTTGATTAGATCATTCACTGTTATCATATGAATTAGAATAACGAGATAAAGCAAATACACTATATATTCTGAATCGTAATACATTGCTTTCATTTATTTGTCAGCAATATGAAGCATGTTGGAGTTCTCCAACAGTTTGTTGACAAAGGCAAAATAGGTAGATAAAAAGTTATCGGTTTACTAAAGTAGCATATACCGCTTTCGCCACGTGAAAAAAGTGAAGGGTGAAATAGATGATGAAATTTTTTTCGGATTGTTGATACTAACAATATTCAACACTTTCAAATAATCTGTACAGTTAAACTCATTAACATGGAAATGCATCTTCTTTTCTTTTAGATTGTGTTCTGTTTCTAAAATTTGATAAACAAATAACAAATTAATGGCCACCAATACACTGTCGTTGACTAAACGAGCTCTTCTTATTGGTAACGACGACTACGAAGTGAATAAACTTCACCGGTGCAAAAATGATGCTGAAGATGTTGGAGATGCGTTGAAGCTGGTTGGCTTTGAAATCACTTCCTACTTCGATTTAACCTATCTTGATATGACGGATGCCATCGACGATTTTGTGGAGAAAATTGATGAAAATGATTTTCTTGTTTTTTTTTCTCTGGTCATGGGACTGAATGGCAAGACCAAAATTATCTCATTCCTATCGACAATAAACATCTTATCGAGCGACCTAGCAGACATCAACATTTCGCGATTTCCATTCAAGCGAAGCTCGAATTAATGAAGAAGAGAAAAGCATTTTCAATCGTATTTCTACTTGACTGTTGTCGCGTGCATATTGAAGGAACTAAGGATCTCCCAATGCAATCCGATTCCGCAAGTGTTTCCACAATAAAAGGAGTAGCAGGCTCCTTAATAGTCTTTGCTTGTGGTCCTAATGAGAAGACATTCGATAGATCTCGCAATAACCGTAATAGTCTCTTCACCTACCATCTACTTCAACATGTCAGGGAGCCAAATTTAAAAATTGATGAAATGATGTGTCGTGTGTGTGATGGAGTATATGAAGACAGTGCTGGACAATTATACACTTATCGAGTGAGCTCATTACGAACTTCACAAGTTTACTTCAACTTCACAACAACAGGTACAGTTTCTCTTTAGGATCAACGACTGTTCATCAATCATTACATAGTCAGTGTATAGGTAGATATGGCTGTAGACGTCTCATTTCTTCAGCTTCTCATACTTACTTATTTACGTATACACCAATGACCTTGAGGATGTGAGTGCGAGTTTGGTGATTATGGGTGTTGCTGAGGGTGGGGTGTAGATATTCTGCTGTGAGTACCTTAGTATCGGCGAAAAGAAAAACTGCAACCACACATGCACAAACACGCACGCCCACACTCACATGTGCCTATACACTCCTCTATGTGTTGTCTCTCGTTCTTCGAAATGAAAAATCTACATTGGACAAGTACTTTCGTTATCAAATAATTGTAGTGACTTTTCTCTAAAATAACGGTGTCGATGTGTGAGCAGACCAATATTCATATCTACACCTAGAACTCATCCTGCCCACAATATAGAGGTGAAAAACAACCTTTCTGTGATTAGTGGCAGCAGCTGCATCGTGTTTCACATTATAATCTCACAGTGCTTCCGCTAACAGCTACATTTATTACTTGTTCTTTTTCAGGATCTACTTCATCAACAACAGGTACTCGATCATCATATATGGACTACGATGATAAACGTGATTTAACATCTAAATTATTCCAATGGAATTGCCCACAATGTACATTTCTTAATGATGACTCATCTCACATATGTGAAATATGTTCATGCGAAAAAGGTTCCTAGTATTATCCGATTATTTCCATAGAAAATTCTTCGTTCAAGTCTATTAGCTTCTATCTCAGATATTGAAACTAGTGGAACGAATGAGCGTATATTAAGATTGAAGAAAACAAGCGAAAAGTTTTTGGAAACACGATCGAAAAGGAGTGTTGAAGTAAATAGGGTGGAAATATGAACGGTCTTCCATTACTGTCCAACCACCCTACCCCTATAGACCGCAGAAAACATATTAAATAGAATTTAATTATTATTTGAATAACATTGGATACTTATTGAATGCCTATTTAATTAATATTTAATTTACAGACAAAAATTACAGAGTAAATTGCTATTTATTCGCTAATTGAATAACCTTTCGAAAATGACTATTCACCAACTAATGAGAGTAGTGTTAAAGGATACAGGAACAAAACTGAGTTATATCACATTGCTTCTCACAGGCTGTAATAGACATCCTGATATTCCATTAGAGACGCGTTAGACACCCTGGAATCTCATCACACCCAATGACCTACAGTCTGTGTGTGGGAGTGTGGGTGTAAGTGTAGGGGAACACAAGCATCAAACCCGATCCCCTAAACCTACATGCACACTCTAGTTTGTAGCTCGCTCAGCAAGATGGATGTTCTATGAAGGAACTTTCGTGAAACACTTGTGTAGTTGAATTGACTGTTAATATGTTGTAATACTTGAATTTTAACTTTTCAAGTTTCACCGCTTTAAGTCTTGACGTGTGTGAAGATGATAAACACACATCACATTTACAAACTTGAAAGTTAAATTCAATTCACCTTTCAACCATATTCACATTTCTCTGGATATGAGTGGTACAAAAATATAGACAATTGAAAATAGAACGTTGAATTAATTTCAAATTTCATACTACTGGTTACTTCCACTAGCATCTTTTCAATTAACCTGATTAACGTGCGACTCTAATTTGTGAATAATACAGTTGTATCTCTGCTGAACTGAATCGAATACTATTTTCAACTGCAATAATTTCTTTGCGACACAAAGATAAGAATATATGAGAAATGAAAAGTAGATAATATGTTTAGTCTCAGTTGAAAGTTAATTAGAACAATGACTTGTGCATTTTACTTTAGTTTCATGTTTGATGATCGCTATTTTCTTCAATAAAGGTTATTCATCATTCGATACTAACTAATTATTGACTAAATTTGAAATGAATAAATTGATAGAATACTATATTTATTAGTTATACATCATTTTTAATGATGTAAGAACTATTTCTCTGTTCGGTCATGAGTGTGGGTGATATGGACACATATTCAGTGGCATAGTAGTTGATTACTCTTGATGTTAATCAATCGACACTTCGAATAGTTAATAAGTTAGAAAGGGATTCTACACTCGCATTCACTTCTTACATCAGTGTATAAGTCTAAGAAAACTTACAGATTGGATACTTTGGCACACCTGTTATATTTTATACTGTTTACCAAAATTAGCGATAAAAGAATTCTGGCAGATGTATACAAATTTTCACACAAAAGAGAGGATGTATCTTTGATTTTACAACAGTTAAAACTGTATTAGAACTGATAGTACGACTGAATTGACAGTTTCTTTTTTTAATCAATATGAATTCGAGAAACATTTTACTCAAGTCATCATCTCTAATAAAAATTAACTTGAGACCGAATGGATGGCATATAGAATATAAAAAGCATGTTTCTAAAAACATTAATCGAGAAAAATATACTTAGAAAAAAACACCTTTTTTAAACCAAAACGTTCATTTTGAATGAATAAGCTAAAGCAATATGAAAAAAGACCTAAGACGATATCAGAAGACTCTGAATCATTATAAAGGAAGCATGTATTTCTCTGGTATATGGAACCGATGAAATAGAATTTCAATAACAAGTTAAAAATAGCAGATCAAGGAGAAACAAACTAATTTCTATTCTGCAAATCATTAGAAGTCGCCACAAATTATGATAAGTCCTTGCGAATACGAGTATAAAATGAAAATGGTGAAAAATTATAGAAAATCCTTAGAAGCCATCATAAACCATGACAAAACACTACAAACGAATGAAAAATCACTTGAAATCATAGAAAATCTCTCGTAATAATATTAAAATTAAAGCACCGCATAGTGAACTGATAAAAACGGGTTTCCAGTGATGAAAATCAAAAGAAATCATTAAAAAATGAGAATGATGTTGAATTATATCAAAAATGACTTAACAGGACTATTATAAAAACGTATGTTGTTTTTTCTTATTAAAGATGCTTCGACCAAGACTGCAGCAGTCGTAA